AAATCTGTAATAAGTTTTCTTTTAAAAAACAGAAATAAAAGTAAATTTTGAGAGAATATAATTAAGTTAAAGAAAAGAATGAACCCATCACCATAAGAATATGTTGAACTATCAAGCCATGAGCGATAAACCCCATAAAAGAAGACAATGAATAAGAAACAGAATGTGGAGACTGTTTCTCAAGGAATCAATGCAGATATAAGTAAAACTCCGAGCTACAAAACTTCTGCACAGGAAAATCCATGAACTACCGCAAACAAAAATTGACATCATCATAACATATCACCATTGGAAAAGAAATGTAAGTATCATGAAAACAAGAAGGCAGTGGAAGAAAAACCAGGCGCAGTGCAACAAGTTCTGATTGTCACTCGAAAAATCATCCTCATCAACTTAACTCAAGTAAGACTTAGAGCAACGAGCATCTGCATGAGACCTGTTCCTGAGGTTTCACAATTGACATTAAGTTGAAATTGAACTGCAGAAACCCTCCTCGAAAAAGCGAGCCACAACAAAGATCAGACGCAGCATAACCTCCTTAAGATTAGTCCAGTCATGAATTAAGTTACACTCATTCACACACAAGAACAAGGATGCATCTCATAACTCCTTAAAAACTGAGACATTGGAGCACAAGACAAAAATCAACAAAGCCCAACATCCAAGGAAAAAGATCCAGAAACAGACCAGAGCTACGATGTATCTGCACAAAATAATGCCCAATGAAAGTGTCGAATCTCATAAACAAATTAAATCATAAGGTCATACTACTCAACTCCCTCTTAAAAGCAATTTCCTTCAACAAAGCTGGACCCCATATACAGACAAGATGACCTGCATAGAATAGAAAGTAATGGTGCAAATCATGGCCCAAGATCTCATACAATCTCCAGAATAGAAAATGGATAATAAGACAAGAAACCCCCACATGGAAGTAGCCCTTCTCCGTCAACAATGTTGGACTCCATGTACAAGACAAGAGTTAGGATGTGTCTGCATATAGAAACGCTGCTCAAATAAATTGTGCAAAATCTCTTAAGACCAGCCAATCAAATAATAGGGCGAAGAAATTCACTCTTAGTAGCACCCCTGCACTCCTTAAACAAAGTAAGACTCCATACACAGGCAAGTTAAATTGCATCTGCATAGAATATTCCTCGAACAATGGTGCCAGATCTTATAAACTCTTTACCAATACACAAGATGCATCAAACTCTAAAAGAAAACATTACTCAAATAATGGCTCATGTAAGGAGTTAAAGCATAAGCAGAGAACCACTCAAACCCTTTCTTAAAAGCAGCTCGTTCTACTTCAAGGAATCAGGCCCCACAAGAAGACAAGTGTAATGGTCTGCATGTAAAGACATTGCACAAAAAATGTCTCAGGATGACATACGGGCTCCAAGAATATAAAATCAGATAATAACTGAGAACCCCCCCTAGACACGAGTTACAATACGCCTGCAGGCAGAGATGTAGCGCAGACAATGTGCCCCACATTATACATACATTACGAATAAAAAAGATCGGATAAAAGACCCCTCTTATAGTTAGGCAGCCCGTTTTTATTCAACGTAGAGTGAGATTCCATAGACACACACGATTTTCAATCTGCATAAACAAATTGTTCCAGACATCAAAGAAATCAGAATTAAAATATAAGCCAAGAACTAACTGCAGTGTAAACCTAAAACAAAATTCCAGCAAAAATTCACCAAACAGAGCAACTGCAGAAGCTACTCAAAATCCTGATATTCCGGACTAAAGCAAGAAATGCATCTGCATACAACACAAAATAAAAGACAACCACGGAATTCACGATATTGAACATGTAACAGAATTAAGAAAGCAAACAGGGTCAATAAGGCAACTGCAGAAGCTACTCAAAATCCTGATACTCAGCTCCATAAAGACAGCCTAAAGCAAGAGATTCATCTGCATATGACATCAAAGGAAAGACAACCACATAATTCACCGATATCGAACATGTAAAAGAAACAAGCAGGGTGAATAAACAAAACCAGCGGCCATGAGCTCTATTCATTTCCATGCCCCAAGGAAAACTTTGTCCCTGAGACAAGAATTAGGATGCATCTACTTCAGATATTGCTAAATAACAGCTACATATATTGAACAAATACATGGCAGCACAGAAGTACGAGATATTCAGCATCTGTAATCAAGACATCATAATATTATATCTTTGAACCATGAAAAATAGATTAATAAGATTGATTGTGATTTTGAACATATCCCCCATATGCCAAGATTGAAAACATAAAATCAGACTATTGAACTAATGGTTAATAATTGTACCACCCTAAATCCCAATTTAGTATTTTTCAATAGAATAGCAAAAATCTTTAGCCTGATTATAGGGAAAAGGAGAGGAAGACACTAACATGAATTTATGTACGATTTTCTGGGTATCAACATAGGTTTAAAAAACGCTTTGACCTAGTAAAGGAGCAAGCATATAACCTTATCAAAAGAGTAGGAAGCTACGGACATAAGCTCAAAGCAATCCAATTAAGATCCACAATATTACTGAAACGCCTAGAAAAAAGAAGAAACCAAACAGGGTGAATAAAAACCAGCGTCTTCGAACTCCACTCAGACCCGCGCATCAAGTTGAAACTTTGTCCCTAATACAAGAATTAGGGTGCATCTACATAAGATATTGCTAAAATAACAGCACCAAATATAATAGAGAGAGAGAGAGAGAGAGAGAGAGAGAGCTATATAAAAACTTTAAAAACATTTAAAAATAATAATGAAAAAAATTTAACATGGTCTCCCAAAAATTTAGGACATTAAACAAGTAGAGAATGAAACAATTTCATAAAAAACCAAAACGCCAATTCCACTTCCATTTAACTGGGGCGTAAACTTCTAAAACCAAATTCCTGCAAAAAAATCACCAAACAAGGCACTGCAGGAACTGCTCAACATCATGATAATCACTACACAATGTGAACTAAAGCAAGACACCGACGGAAAGACAGACCAAAAAATTCACAATATTGAAGAAGTAACAAAAATAAGAAACCAAGGAAAGTGAACAAACAAAACCAGCGGCCTTGAGCTCTCAAACCAGTGCACCCATGTGAAATTCTGTCCCTAAGACAAAAACTAGGGTGCAACTACATAAGATATTAGCTTTAAAACCCCTCTTAGGTAGTAAGTCAATTCAAACCCAACAGAAGAAACCTGAAAAATACATAATACCTGATCAATTTAGGGGTGAAATACAGAGATATTGAGAGAGAGAGAGAGAGATTTATATAAAAAACTTTAAAATAAATAAGAGAAAAAAGATTTAACATGTTCTCCCAATAAGCTATTCCCACTTCCTTTATTAACTGCAGCATAAACAAATACAACCAAATTTCTGCAAAAAAAACAAACACCAAACAAGGCAACCGCAGTAACTGCTAAAAATCCTGATAATCAATACATAATGTGTACGAAAGCAAGACATCAACAGAAAGACCGGACCACATACTTCATGATATTGAACATTGAAAGACAGACCGCATAATTCACGATATTGAACAAGTAACAAAAATAAGAAACCAAAGAAGGTGAACAAACAAAACCAGCGGTGTTGAGCTCTCAAACCCGTGCCCCCAGGTGAAACTTTGTCCCTAAAACAATAATTAGGATGCATCTACATAAGATATTGCTAAAATAACAGCACCAAATGTAATAAATTTTTAAAATGGGAAACAAAAGGCAACAACATTAACCCCCTCTTAGGTAGTAAGCCAATTCAAACCCAACAGAAGAAACCTGAAAAATACATAATATTAATTAAGGAGGGAATTAGAGAGAGAGAGAGACTTGTACAAAAGTTTAAAAAAACTTGAGACACACAGGATTTAACATGTTCTCCCAATAAACTATTTCCACTTCCTTTATTAACTGCAGCGTTAAAACCAAATTCCTGCACACAAAAATAACCAAACAAGGCAACCCCACGAACTGCTCAAAATCCTCTTAATTACTACATAATGTGGACTAAAGCAAGACATCAACGGAAAGACAGACCACAAAATTCACGATATTGAATGAGTAACGAAAATAAGAAACCAAGGAATGTGAACAAACAAAACCAGCGGCCTTGAGCTCTCAAACTGGTTCCCCCTGGTGAAACTTTGTCCCTAAATCGAGAATTAGGTTGCATCTACATAAGATATTACTATAATATCAGTACCAAATTTAATAAATTTTTTAAATGGTAAACAAAAGGCAACAGCATTAAAACTCCCTTGGTTTGTATGCCAATTTGAAACCAACATAAGAAACATGAAAAATACATAGTACCTAACATTAATTTTGGGGGGAGAGAGAGAGACTTGTATAAAAAATTTAAAAATTAAAAGAAAAAGATTTAACATGTTAACCAAACAAGAATAGCTCCCACAGCAGTGTCATAAACTTTTAGCTCCATCCAACTTAGTCACCATAAGCACTTTAACCACGAAATTAGTGAATCATCATGACAATACCTAACCACACTGCTATACAAATTCGAAGCCCCAATATATGCAATGACAACCATAGAAATGAATAAACTTAAAAAAAAACATAAAGTAGAAGGTAAGCGCCAAACCACTTTTGGTTGTAATTATTAATAGCTTAAAGACCATAATGCAAAAAATATTGATCAAAGACAGGGCAATAAAGAGGTAAGTGAGAAATACTCCGGGTCTGTAATCAAAACATTGAATAATTTTATATCTTTGAAAAAAGAATTACTAATATTTGAGATATGACAAAATTAGAATAGACACTTTCATTCCAACTGAGATATTCAATAGAAAGCCAAAATTGAGGACATAAAATAAAAACCCGATTAGAACATACCCAAAAACCAAGAATCACATTGAAACGGAAGAACTAAGAAGGTTAACAATGTACCCCATGAATTCTGGATTTAGTATCTGTCAATATAAGAGCAGAAAGTTCGGCATGATTATAGGAAAAAGGAGGACATAAACATGATATTACTTGCAAATTTCAGGGACTTGAACACGTAACACAAAACAATAATCCATATGCAGCAAACCAATGAAAACCTTTACAAATGGAGTGCACTACGATCTATCCAAAGACTAAAAGGGTGCAGACATAAGCTCAAAGCCGGTATCTGCTGCAAATCAAATAGATCCAGATAGACAATTTTGAAATTCAACATTCCATTGCAAGCGCAAAACAGTATAAAATTCGACCTCATAGCCATCCAATCAGACCCCATAAGAACCTATCGAGTTATCATCTAACCCTCGTGTGTCAAACACCGCAAACGAGGCCTGAAAAATAACAGCAAAGCTCCGCTTATTTGAATGACAATAAACGACGGAAATTTCCAAATCATTATATTCTAACTTCAGAACAAAATCAAAGGAGGTAAGCGAAAGGTCTCCCGTAGAAGGTAAATCGATGAGGTTTTCGTCCAAATCAAAACGCAAGCAGAACTAGGTACTGAATCCACGAAGCCCTGGCATTCATCATCCCAATTAAAACTCATAAGCATATCAATAAAGATGAGCTTCAGCCTCAGATCAACAAATTATATCTATACAAAACAACGAGAAGATCCCAATCGAATTCATAGCAGTTTAATACCAAACACCTACTTCACCATGATCCACGATGTCGTTTGGGTCTATCTGAACCAATAAAACAAGCCTGCAAATGTACACAATCTCTGGTTCTTTATATCGTCACAACCTTCAAAGGTCATTAGATCCAACTTTTAATCGGTTAGCAAAATCCATCACCAAAACCTAAAGCATAGCGATAACAAAACTTAATCCATCGATATCGAAAGCATAGAATCAAACCCAAACAGAAGAAGCGAAACAACAAATCCGATAATCTACACAAACCGAAACCCGATCGCCACCTCCCTTCCGTTCAGGGACCAGCCAAGTAAGGTGAATTGTGAGAACGGCTGAAGGGTATTTATAAGGGAAGGGGATCGGGATGAACGGCCAAGATTAAGTGGTGATGGAAATAATGGACGGTGGATGTGTAAGTTGTAACGGATAGGCTATCGACGCGGTTTAGTCGGTTGTGATGACTTGAAATCAACGCTACTTTCCCTTCTTCCTTTATTTTTTCTATATTTGTGGTGGTGAGGTGAGGACGCGCCTTGTTGGACCCGGAAACCTTTTGGATGGAAAAATATTTTAAAATAAAAGCTGCCACGTGTTTTTTTGGGTGAAGACTTGCAATCCGTGTTGCACCAGGATTCCTATACACGTACGGATAGAAAAAATTTGAACAAATAAAATTTAAAAAATAAACTGCCACGTGTCTAGACCTTGTGGGACCAGGATTCCTAAAAAAATTAAAACGAAAAAAATTTTAAAAAAAATTCTCGAAGCAAGTGTCAGTGTGACACTGGGCTGGGCTAAAAGGCACAGAAGGACTAGGCCGTTTAATATTTTTTGCGCTGGTCGACACCCTGCGATTGGCACAAGTTCTCTGGTTTCATCAAGCCCTATAGTCATGAGTACATCCGGACACAAAGAAGGAAGCCCATCAAACGTGACTTTTAAAAAATATATATAGAGAGAGAGAGAAACGATGTTCTAAACTAATATAATTTATAAAGAGAAAATTCGAACATGAGTGCAAGGTAGAAGGCTCACTGTCTTCACTAACTTGGTCAACCCACATTTGCAATCACAACCACTTTATTATTTCTTCATAATTACAAAAAAATAATCAACTTCATTATTTTGAATTGAGATTTGAACGTTGGTGTAACATTGATCTAGAAGTTGGGTAGTTAACATTTGGACATGTTGCACTTTTTTGATCATGTAGTTTAGTTCAAGTTCAATTTCTTTTTCTTGATTTTATTTCATAATTACATTAAATTAATCTAATCAAGTATTTCATGAAAGATGCACAAGTCAATTTCATCAAATCTTTTTTCTCCTTACTTCTCTTTTTCTATATTGTCGATTTTGTTGTCGGTTGTTGTGAATCTTGGATATGAGTTTGCTTGTGGTTATTGGCAAGTTCGTTGTTGGAAGTTGGTATTAGTAGCTAGGGGTGGGTATGGTCCAAATTGGATCGGTTTCACCTCAAAACCACATCCGAATCAATTACAATATAACGGTTTGATTTGGTTTGGTTTTAACAATAATCACGGAGGAAGCCGAACCAAACCAAACCAATTTAAGACAGTTTGGTTTAGCCAGTTTAGGCCTAAGTTCAATTCTCTTTTCCTTTTCTTTTTTTCAACATTGTTAGCCCAATTAGAACAAAAAAAATTCACAACTTGCTACGTACTTTTTTCATTTTCTAGTGTATCAACCATCCTAAAATTCAACATACCATAAAAGTCAAATTTCAATAACTAATATAGCCACAATTCAACATTCATATATAGTTATTTTCTAATTAGAGGATTACACATGTAAAATTATATATATATATATATATATAAGCTCAAAACCAAATTTCCATAACTATTAGACGGCCCGGTTCGATTTATGCCGGTTTGTAAAACCTCAAAACCAAACCAAATAATATTCAATCCGGTTCGATTTTTATACCATTTGATTTTTTCTTGATTAAAACCAAACCAAACCAAATCGATAATTACGAGTTGAACTGACCTGTTTAATTGATTTGGCGCGATTGATACCCACCATATTGTTGGATTTCCATTGTTATGTTATTTCTTCATACATTAAGTATTTTTTTCGTTCTTAATTTTCTTTCATTTGGTTTCTAGTGTATTAGGCCTTGTTATTGGCTTAACCCAAGTGTATTTTGTTTTTCTCTTTTTTTCGCGCATATCTATTTTGTTTTTCTTCTGTTTTATATCCACAATTGTTGAGGCGCATGATGCTGATTTCAATCGTTGGCATTGCTGTTTTGGTGGTTGAAGAAGTGTCCAAGATTCCTCTTCCTTTTTTATTTATTTTCCTTCACTATATTTGGTTCAAGTCGCTAATCTTTTTTAAGATTACGGTATTCTCCCTGCCTCATATTTGGGTTTCAGATAGTTTTCTTTCTATCTTTGTACTCTTTTAGGGTGTTCTATTTTATAGAGCATATACTTCAACCCAAAAATAAGATGCACAAGCCACTTACTAAAGGGAATAAAAGAAAAAAAAAAGGTAATTTTTGTTTTCAACTTCGGCCTCCCATGTAACTCTGAAAAAAAAGAAAGTAAAGTCAGCTTCTCCGTGAGAGAGCGGTATTGATAATTATAAGTAAATGGAAAATGAATTGTTCCACATCAAAATTTGATGGTGGAGCATTTTACTACACGTCAAAAATGAATTGTGCCTTTTTTCTTTTACTTTTACTTACTGAAAAACAAAAACAAAATCAAAAAACAAAAGGAAGAAACATCAATGGGACAAAATTGGGCCAAAAATGACATATGGGAGCCCATTCGTTCTTTTTAAATTTAGATATTTAGTTATGACAGCTGCTATTTTCACTACATGTCTTATTTTCTCACACACCTTATCTTCATATCCACTATATAAATTTGAAAAAACACAATATTATCTTTCTACCAACCATTATTCCTAATACCTTTTAATAATATTAAAAAATAGCTCTCTCTCATCTCTCCCTTTCCCGACTCACCCCCACCCCTAATATTTATGAAGTATAAACTAATGCAACTAGGAGGGGGCTTTTTTCTTAAATTTTCATTTATTAAATAGTATAGTCACCTTTTAAATATAATGTATTTAAACAATATAGCCGTGCGGCGATATTACGATTTTTTTAAAAAGAAAATAGTATAGCCAGGCGGCTATACTTAATTTGACACGTGGCACCTAATCGCTAGAGGGACTTTTTTTATTAAAAACAAATAGTACAGTTGAACGGCTAATCTATTTTTTTTAAAATGAGGAGTATAGCCGTGTGACTATACTCTTAAGTTTTAAAATAAAATAAAAATAATATTGCCAGTCGGCTTTACTGGTTTTTGTTGTTGTTTTAAGTGCCTTTAATAAATAGTATATACTGGGATCCCATGTAACTCTGAAAAAAAAGAAAGTAAAGTCAGCTTCTCCGTGAGAGAGCGGTATTGATAATTATAAGTAAATGGAAAATGAATTGTTCCACATCAAAATTTGATGGTGGAGCATTTTACTACACGTCAAAAATGAATTGTGCCTTTTTTCTTTTACTTTTACTTACTGAAAAACAAAAACAAAATCAAAAAACAAAAGGAAGAAACATCAATGGGACAAAATTGGGCCAAAAATGACATATGGGAGCCCATTCGTTCTTTTTAAATTTAGATATTTAGTTATGACAGCTGCTATTTTCACTACATGTCTTATTTTCTCACACACCTTATCTTCATATCCACTATATAAATTTGAAAAAACACAATATTATCTTTCTACCAACCATTATTCCTAATACCTTTTAATAATATTAAAAAATAGCTCTCTCTCATCTCTCCCTTTCCCGACTCACCCCCACCCCTAATATTTATGAAGTATAAACTAATGCAACTAGGAGGGGGCTTTTTTCTTAAATTTTCATTTATTAAATAGTATAGTCACCTTTTAAATATAATGTATTTAAACAATATAGCCGTGCGGCGATATTACGATTTTTTTAAAAAGAAAATAGTATAGCCAGGCGGCTATACTTAATTTGACACGTGGCACCTAATCGCTAGAGGGACTTTTTTTATTAAAAACAAATAGTACAGTTGAACGGCTAATCTATTTTTTTTAAAATGAGGAGTATAGCCGTGTGACTATACTCTTAAGTTTTAAAATAAAATAAAAATAATATTGCCAGTCGGCTTTACTGGTTTTTGTTGTTGTTTTAAGTGCCTTTAATAAATAGTATATACTGGGATCCTTTTTTTATTTACAAATTTATAAATAAACCCAATCCTAGACATGTATTTATAAAAAAAACCCAAACACTATTTAAACATAGAAACACACCCAAAATCAACAATTGTATATTTTTTGGGTGTGTTTATCAATGGATTTTGAGTGTGTGTAATGATGGGTTTTGGGTGTGTTTATAAAGTGGTTTGGATGTTGGGTTTTTTTATAATTTCAGCCCACATTTTGGGTGTTTTAGTGAAACTCCCTTTTTTATTTTAAATTTTTTCTCCAATTTTCATTTATCGATAATAGTAGTTTACAGCATTGTTCTAATGGCCATTACCCAAGTCTTTATTGTCCCATTTTAATATTTTACTTTTCTAGAATTATTACCTGTATAATGAATTTAGCACTTTCAAGTTTAATACTCTGTTATACACATACGTGTATATTTTTCAATCATACATCCGTGTTATGTACACATCCTAAAGACTCGGAAAAATTCACATTTAAAAAAAAACAAACAAACGTTACGTATTTATTTAATAAAAGTATTGTTTACAAATTTTTCAATAAGACACAAAAAATTCACGTATAAGGTAGCAATTGATGAAACTAGGGTTGGATGCCCTTCTTACGTTAGTCATACATTGCGATGCGATAAAGAGAAGGAGAAAGATGAGCAGTGATAGGGTTGGGTTTGGAGTTGATGGCCAATGGGAATAAGGGGAAAGGATCAGCGGACATGGTAATTAAGAGCTAGGATAAGTCGGGTTAAGAGGTGAGGGAGGGTGATATTTTTTTAATTTTTTTTTTAAAATTTATACAAAATAAAAAATGCTATATCTTTATATCATTTTACTTCATTTTTTTGGTTTAAAATTCTTTAAATGATTTAAAAGTAAAAATTTAAGTACAGTTATAACAATGGACACATGTCAAGTTTTGAGAATGTCCTTGGAAATCATTTTATAAAGGGATAAATTTGTCTTTAAAATTTTGAAAATAAAGTGAGTGGGGAAATAGGACAAAATGGTGGAAATATCAACACTTAGTACTTATATACCCATTCTTAGC